AACAAAGTAGAACAGATGTGAAAACTTTAAATTACTTTGAGACTGATCTTTTTAATTTTATTGTTCCCCCCATATCTTCACTGTCACAACTTTCATTTTTTATTCCAGTTTAATTATTCAGGTATGAAAATATCAGATAATATGCTAAACCTTTCTGAAAGAGATAGATACTTGGGAAATCTCTTGCAGGAAAGGAAAGTAAGATATACTCATACAGGATATTTAAAGAAATATACACAGAAATAGATTTCACTGAACTGGTGTTACATTATTTCACATATAAAATATGGAAATATACTGTAATCCATTTTTTAACCTTGTTGATTTTCCCTCCTAAAATTCAGCATATATTTTTATACTGTATGTTGGCTTATCCTTACTCATATTCCCTTGAAAATTTCCCTCATTTTCATCTCCTAGGTGTCTATAAATGGCCATTTAAAAAGGAAATGATTTATATACTCTGTAAACATCTTTGGTGATTTTAGTATAGGAACTGAAAACTCTTTATAGCATGGACTCCATCTTCCTAGTTCTGCTGGCTCATGGGCACCTTCCTTCCCCTTTGGGATCACTAATTTGTACAGTAATTAGTGAATGGAAGAGAATCAGCAGGAAGGGGTTGGGTGAGGTGGCAGCAGAAGGGTGAGCAGGCAGCTTTCTCTGAGCCAGTTTGAAAATGTTTTTTCTAGCAGTGGAGGAAAAGAGAGGCTGTCCATTTCCAGCTAACAAGCCAAGGAATTTTGGGAAGAACTATACACACACAGTGCATGCCACTAAAAATTTTAAAAGCCAATGGAGCAAATAAACCCCATTAATGTTGTTTGTAATAGGCAATTAATTCTGTAGATTTGAAGAAAACTGATATTTTGATATACATTCTATTTAAAATTCTTTATGTACATATAGACAAATATTTTATAACCACAACACGTTCACCATATCCTGGTCCATAATCTGAGGAATTATATACAACACTCATGGATGAGCAGTGTGCACTACTGAATATAGGATGTGATGGTAGAAAATTTTGTCAGCTGTAAGTACCTGGCACTGTCTTATGCAACTCTTGTGTTTTGTTGGATCTCCTTGGCACAGTTCTTCCCTTTTTACCTTACTGTAGGTTTTAGGGAGGTTTTTTTTTTTTCCCTTTTCAGAGCTGATTCATTTGTCTCCTCTGGAGATTTCAAGATCATTGTCCTACTAGGAGTTAGCCCAGCCCAACACATCTTTCCCTCACTCTCAAAAATAATTATAGCACTATTATAAAAAAAGAAATTATCTTTGCCATTTATTCAGGAAAGATTCATTACAATTGGTGAATAAGGGTATTCTGGAAGAAAACTGTTTAACAGAATACAGAGTTGTTCAACCATGTGCAAATGCCACTAGTGTCTCTACTTGTAGTACTTTTTCTGGAAGATGCAATGGAAGACAAACTTTTTATTATGATTACCTAAAGAAATGTTGGACTGGATTAGAGGCATGTCCTGCTTTCCACTCTCTGAAGGAATATTCCAAGACAGAGTGAGCCCATGACAGGGTAGTTACAGGTGTTCATAAGAGAATTCTGAGCTGCCAGAATGTGTCCCATAGAACCATTCCATCAGCTGAGGTAAAACAGTTCAACAAATGCTGCAGTTTACAACAGGGCCAGCTGCCAATGAGGAACTGCTCTTCAATACAAGGTCAAGAATGTTCTGGGCTGCTTTACCTTGGTGGCTGATGTGGTCCCAGGGGGTCATTCTGACATGGAAATTGCTGGGGGTAATGCAGTCTCACTGGGCACCTCCACAGTCCCAGCTATTCCTCATGGTAAATCTCAGCTGATTCTGGATAAAGGGGGTCTGTTTGTTATTTATGACCCATCTTTGGATCCTGTAGGAATCTGCATTGAAAAAAGAAAATTAACGACGCCCTGTGTTAGGCTCATCATATAAAAATGGCAAATGGATATTCAGTCTTAAGTGATGTAAAAATCAAAGTACTGCAGTCTGTGAGTTCTGTGTCAGAATAATCCAAGTAATGCCTAATAGAATATTGGATACAGAATGTTTGGCCAGAACAACTAATTTATTTGAATTTATTGTTGAGTGCACTATTTGCAAGCAAAGGATTGCTTTTTGCTCTCTGATGTCCTGAAGCATGGCATGTTTCTAAGTTTTTACTGGATAGACACTGGACTTCAGTGTCTATCAGACACAGGAAACAAAAAGGGTAAATTTTGTTAGAGAAAAATTTGAACGACGTGGCTCAATTCTCTTCTTTTCACCTCATGGCATCCCAGTGTTTCTCAGTAATTCCAATGTGCAAACACCTCACTAGTAAATTCTGAACCTTCTGCTGTGCCTTGTTCAGTTTTAACACCATGAACATCATGAACAAGACCCTCAGGTCTTTCACAGGTTCAGCAAAACAACTGGATACAATTAAGGCATGAGATTCATCTGACCAAGCACAGATGCCTGAATGGATGAGCTATCACTGAATGCAGAGAAACAGGTAAGAATTATTTCTTGATGACATCTACATTATAACACCTTTTTTTGTTGCTTGCATATTGCACACACTTTATTTTGTGAACTTTCAATGGGTACTTTTAGTCCTAAAGCTCTGTAATGTGGGCCAGATTCTCAAAAACAGCATATTAAATTTGCTTAAACTTGTCAAATTTAAACTCCAGTTGCACACTGCAATATGCAGGATAATTAGAGCTAATTTCCTCCTGAAGAAATAATTTCCTGTAACAAAGAAAGTTACTCTTATTTCACATAGACATTTGTGGCCTGTACAGAATTAGGCACATGTTTGAAAAATGATACCTGTTAGGGCTGTTTACAGTTTTGTTTTTAAATTAAAAAATATTAAAAAATCACCAAACTAAAGCAAGAAGAGACTAGGAACCAGCACAGGAGCAAATAAAGTATTTCAAAAATGGGGAAAAATGTAAATTTCATCAAGATAACTATTAGAAAAGTGTCATACTGCACCACAACAACCAAAACAGAAAAACAAGCTGTATAAATCCACAAAATCCTGGATTTACAATGTTATTAACAAATGTGCTCACTCAAAAATTCCTTTGTTCTTTCCTTTCTGGTTACCCAAACTCTTGTTTATATAAAAAATATATCTGATTAATAAATGTTTTTACTTTTGTTATATTTTTTTTCTATTGAAAAAATATTTTCAGCAGTGTGATAAATTTAGAAATTAATTTTCATGAAATATATCCAGGTTGTGTGCATGTAACAATGTGAATTTTGCATGCTCACTACCAGGAACAAAAAATTTGGCAAAACACAATCTACACGTACATGGTTTGGGTGAGCTATGAATGATTTTGAAACCCCAAACAAATAACAGACTCACACCTCCTCAGTAATGGATTTAATTGTGAGAAGGGCTCATTCCACAGATGTCCTGTTGTTGGCCATGGAACCAGTGATAGGCAAACTGGGTAATAAAATGATGAAGCAAAATCCACTTTTAAATTACTCTGTGGTGTGTTAGTATTTTTAGAAAGGCTTCAGGTAAGTATGGTTTTCTTTCTGTACAAGCACCTCTACCAAAAAATTATTCAGATGTGGAATTCAGGCAGAATTTTTCAAGTGACAGTCAAAAAAAAGAACAAATGATTTTTCCCCACTGAAGGGCTGTGATCCTGCAAAAGTCATGTCCTTGTGCCAGACTGATGAGTTCAGTGGGAATACTCCTGCTGACAAAATTACCTTTGGAGCTACAATAGGACTGAAGCTGCCCTTCTTTAGACAAGGTCATCAAATTGGCATTGTAGAACACCACTGACTCCTGATCTTTAGAAAATTTGTTCCTCAGTTATATCTGCCCTCTTTTTTTTTTTTTTTTTTTTTGAAAGAACGAAAGAAAGAAAAATTTACTGCGTTGCTGTTATCTCACCTAAATGAATGCAATTATTCCAACATAAATTGACAACAGTGAATCAGGCCTCGTGTGTCTTACTCTGTGATCTTGTTGGAAGCATAATCTTTTCTGAGTTGCTTTCTGATTTTCATTCTTTGTCACTAATATACAATGGCAGCCTTTTCCAAGACTTAGGAAATACCTTGTGATTTACAAGCTGTAAATGAAGCAGTAAATACCATTATGATTACACAACGTAGTTAGTTCCTTTTGATATACACATAGATTATACTAATTGCCCAAATGCACGTTTGAACAGAAGAGCTGTGATGCTTGAGTATATTGGAATGCCATGGAACTCAAAACCCACCCTCCAAGCAGCACAGGAATGGAGAGCAGTGTCTGCACAGGGTTACATGTGACATGCATTGTTCTGCTCCCAGGAGTGCACATCCCATGCAAAAGTTTGGAAATGTAGCCCAGCACGTCCGTGTCAGTTGTCTGAATAAAACATGGAAGCTGGAAGTCTTAGAGAGGTACAAGTATTCTGTTAGGCCTTTGCTGACGTTTTCTTGCATGTAAATATGGCTATTGAAGGGTTCTAAAGGTAATACCTCGGATGTCCTTTAGAGAGCTGTACTAAAAGAAGATCTGGCCTGGAATGACCAGAGCTCCATCTCAGCAGAGTTAGAAGTAGACTCAAGGCAACATGTTACCACACTGCTGTCCTGCATCTCCTTTTCTGCCTTTGTGTAAGGTCACTGCATCCTGCAGCCCGTGACTTCCAGCAGCAGCGGGGCCGTACCTCTGCCCTCGGCTGGAGGAGGATATGGCCAGCCTGCTCCCACGGGAATGATCCCATCACCCCACCCATGGCTGGCCCTCTGAGCTCTGCTGCTGCTGCTGCTGGAGAGGATTCCCTATCCAACAGCAGAAACTTGCATGTTTGAAACAGAAAGCTTTTCTGAAATCAGCGTGTCCACAACAGAGCTGACAAACCATGTTTTACATGTGGTCACGGGAACGCTACAACCAGTTCTCCTGTAGTAGAAGCAAATGCTGAGTATTTCCTTAAAAAAAAGCCAAACCAAAACAAAAAGGGTTGTAGGGTGGTGAGGAATCCCAAGGATAAAAAAGTTTTCCATCCTAATCTAAAATTTAAAGCATAAAAAGTGTCGAGTGCTAAAGTAATTGAAAATCAAGAACCTTCCTTAAGATTTCAAACAGATTACTCTCACTATGCTTCCAATTATTCACACAATGAAAACTGGCTACATAAAATCATCAGTCGTTTCTGCAAACAATACTAATGTTTTGAGGCACCAGCTTACCAGCATTCAAACTATTAGAAAGTAATATAATGATAGGACACATACATTTGCATTTAATTAAGAAATAAAATAAATATTTATGTTAAACTTCTTTTTGATTGCACATCTGGTGTTGGAAGTTACATGGTCACATAACATGAAAGAAGTCAAATACTTTTTGATCTACCAGCAAATTCTAAATACATCGATAAAGAAGCCACACCAGGCCAAATAGATTACTACTTTCAAGTAAGTCCATGAAAGTTTCCCAAATACTGTTATACAAAGTTACACATCCATGCTGAGTTATTCATCAATGTGTAGCAAGAGTCTTGCAGTAGGCCAGGATTTTATCGGCAGAGAACTGGTGGAGGAGCTGTGCAGTGTGATTAAAAATTCCGGTTTGGAAGCATTAACATAGAAGTACTCGTATAGTCTGAACTGGAGACTGCAGTTCTTGAAGTTGGGAAGAGCAGGAGGGAAGAATGAGAATATTTTTCCATTTTTAGAAATGCTGAGGCACAAAACACAGTTGCTTCTATTACTTTCATACATGAAATCCTTTCTCCTGTATGTGCATCATGTGTAACCGCAAAGTCTGTAAACTGCTGACTATTCGTCTCTGGTGTCCAATGAGTGAAACTCCAATTCTTCTAATGTCACTGCAAGATAAAAAGTTTCATCTTGGATGCAAATATAATAAAGCCTCTGGTGCACAAAAGGTTATAATTATATGATGACTTCTTCTCCAGGACAGTTTACCTTCCTGGCCATGGCATATAAAGAAAGCTGCAATTGTTCAATTTTTCTGCATCTGTCAATTTTAATTTTTTTAAAAACAGTCATTTAAGAAAAAATAATACAATAAAAAATGTATTTAGAGCACTGGGGCTTTTTTGTTATCTGTGATACTAATCGTCAATTAATCTTTCCAAATCTCAAGGAGTAATCAGAGAGCTGAGCTCATTTTTAGTAATGTGATTGTAGCAACCATTTCCCACTCATACTTGAAAAGGACTGGGGCTTATACACTCAGTATTGCAGTTCTGAGGCAAAGAAACCAGAGGTTGTGCTTCTAATGATTTGGGGAATGGTAGTGAGTAGTAAGAGATGGTCTAAAGATCAAATTAGCAGTGAATCTTCCAGACAGACCCTGATTTTCCTCCAGTTTCCCTTCATCTCATCTAGCCCTGCACCTCAGAGTGGGTAGCTCTTGTCACTCACAGGGCTCGACTCTTTGGCAGGATTGAAGTCAACAGCCACCAGAGTTCAGCACAATCCACCAACTTAGTTTTTCTATAAACGTCCCCAGCTGCAAGATCTGAGAAAGATCACAGAGGTGCTGAGGACAGGAAACTTGAAATATGCCAGATTTGTCAGTTATGCAAATCCCACACTAGGACATACACAGATATTGCCTGTTTATCCTCAAAAACTGTATGATGATGCAACCAGTAAAGGAGCTCATGGGATAAGGCATGGCCTTCATGAGTTTTAGATGTGCAGTTCCAGATATCTGCCTCTGTATCCTCCAGCTGAGGAACCACTGGAAAGCTACAACTATTATGTGCTTAGACTTAACATTCTCGTGGGGCATGATACACAACACTTGAGGTCAGCAGAAATATTGAGCATCTGAGAAGCTAAAAGGAGTCAGTGTAAAGAATAAAGCTCTGCAGTGGAGAGTGGTCTTAGAAATGCAAGACCAATGCTTAGCATTTATCAAGGAAGGCCTGATAAGCACAGAAAGAAGCCAGCAGATCTTGTGTAACACAAATTATTTGGAGAGGGAATCTTTCAAAAAGTTGAAATGGTATCTAAAGAAAGTAGAAAGGATGATAACCTTAGACTAGCTGTAAGAGCACAGTAAGGCAGTCTAAAAAGGAACTTGAGGAACAAACAGAAAAAAACCCCTCAACATATAAAATAGAAAATATAAAACATATAATAAATCTTTTTGCAAACTCACTGGGTACAAGAAACCTGCCATAACATGTGTAGAGTCTAATGATGATTTGAGTACGAAAGAGCACTGAAAGAGTGGCCATTGTTGTAAGACTTAACCATTTGAGTTGACATTCACTGTGGAAGAAATTGAAATGACTCCCATGTCAGATCCTTTCTGGGGGACTTGCCAGAATATCTGCCTGAAGTGACTGCAGGAAAGGCTATAGGACAAACTGAATAACAAGCAACAATCCATGTCCAGACAGGACTACATTTAGGCAAAAGTTCCAAAAGAAAGTGAAGATGAAATAGTGGACTTATTATCAGGGTTGTGAGAGAGGGAGTCACCAGTTGTGCTCCACATGTTAAAATTTTTCTTGATGCCTGAATATGGAGCATGGTGCCAGATAAAATGTTTCCAGGGAAGATCTGGGGAGCTACCAGACCCATGAGTCTGTGATCATTACAGGGCTTAAGAGAAACTACAGGAAAGTACAGAATTACTGGATGCTTGGATAAATGAGCTAGAGTCACCATGGCTCTTGCAAATAAAAGTTCTGTTTTATAAAATTACTTGTTTCCAGTGGATGGAGATGATCCATTTGCTACACCTCACTTGGATTTCCAAAAGCTTTACAGAAGAGTCCTCACAAAAGCTTTATAATGAAAATGAGGAGCAACTTCTGTGTAATATAGGCTATAACATAATATGTGGCATAATGTGGTCTTTGCATGACTAAATAACTGGTTTAAAGACAGGAGGTTAGCAGTAAATTGTCAGATTTTACAATGTAGTTATTGATCTATATCTGCAGGGACCTCTGCTGGGATAATGTTGAACATTATCATTCTACAAATCAGTAAATGGTCTGGGAAAACAGATGAGCAAGAGGTGGAAAACTCAGCTGGTGAGGCTGAATTGTTCAGGGTAGGAAGGGAAAGGGGCAGCTGTGTAGAATTTTGGAAGGATCTCACAAGATTAAGTGACTGTGCCATAATGCAGTAGATGGAATTCAATGTAGATGAATATGAAGTGATGCACATGGGAGAAGATCAGTCCTAACTTTGCATGTAAAATTCTTCAATCCTAACTGACAGCTACCATTAATACAGGCAGTCCCAGCATCAAATAAAAGATTGGGAATTCATGGGAGAGGAATAGAGGGATCTGTCCCATCATCATGCTACCATATAAACCCATAGTTTGCCCAAACACTCCTATATTGAGTGCTGGACTTGCATTAAAAAAACCCAAGAGGGTGGTGTCAGAGATAGCTGGAAAAGCTTCCTCATGAGGACTGATAAGGACTTAATGGTATTCATATTGAAGTAAGAAAATATTTTTGCCCCTGACTTCAGTGGTCTAGATCAAAACTGATTCCCCAGGAACCACGCTCATCCTTGGCCTTTGCTTGTGTTTGGTGTGATCACAGAGTGGATCTGTCAGTTCTGGGTCTCTCCATCATACATTTCTCTTGTGTTGTTTTGGTAAATAACTGTATTTGTCTTTTGTTAGCTGAGGGAGGAAAGGAAATGAAAGCACTGTTCCATACTCCACAATACTCGTGTGTCTGCAGCATCTAAATTCAGATCAATTAGTCAGTGTAGGGATAATAGATTACATACTTACTCAATAGTCATTCTTGAAACCATATCCAAAGTTGTGAAACCTGCTGCCATGAAGTTATTTTTATACTGACCCATTTTTATGGAATCCAGCCAGTCACTGACTGAAACAAACAAAGGATATTCTGGAACTTCACCAGGTGAATCTGGCATTCTGTAAACAAACAAAAATGCAAAGGTTACCAAGCAATACAAAATATGACACCCAATTTACCCTGGAAGACATAGTTTCTACTAAAAGGCAGAGGGAATGAGAGAGAAGTCTGAGCTGTAAAGGTCAGACCTTAACTGAGAATCTCTAACTTGTTGTCTAAAACTTATAAATCACGTCAGTCTGCCAAGCTGCACTACTTAAACAGTGAATTTTAATACAGAACTGCAGCTCAGTAACACATTGAGGAAAAGACCTCTCCCAGTGCTCTTATTTTTGTTCCACAGAATGTTTCCTTGCAGATCGACATGTCCAGGATTATAATAATTCGTTAATACAGTAGTCAATGTAGACAACAATGAAAATTCAGCATAAGATGCAATTAAAAATTTTTACATTTATCTATAACCACCCCACCCCCGATGGCTCCTCATTGTGATACCATTATGCTACAAGAACACTTTGATTTCAGTACTCAAAAGCTAAAACTCACCCTTAAAGGAAGCAAAAAGAATAAAATGTGATGTCTTTGTTTTACATAGAATTACATAGAGTAGCAAATTAAATTGAAGGAGCTAATTTAGTCACATTTCTTTTTGAGTTCTTTTCCCTAATATTATCTCAACTGAAACAGAAAGCTGGAAAAAAAATTTGCAATTTTGAGGCATTGATTTTGTCTTCTGCTGTGTGCCACACTTGGGAGGGCTCACAACTTCCACCGGCTTTATGCATTTTGTAGAGAGAAACAGTATGAACAAAATGCAGAAAATGAACACTGCTGTTTGTAAAAGCTTTATGATAGTCTTTAGCAGAAAGACACAATTTATTGAAAATGAAAATTTAGACAGCAAAAGCCAGCCAACATTTACTGATGGAACATGACTTAATGTGTAATGTAGGAAGCAACACAGCCTCATGTCTTAATGTACCAAGTTTCACCCACATATATTCAAATACAGTAAGCACAGTGATTTTCATTCATACTATCAAAATGATAGAGAGAGAGGCTAAAGGACAGGAGCACACTGTTAAGTACAAACTGTAATTAAAGACCTACCACGGTCCCTTCCCATCTGAATTACTCTAGGATTCTACAGAAGGTTACCCAACAACTGCATCAAGCATTCTCAAATGAATGGAAAAAGCTTTCCCAAGAAGGTCAAGTCAATCATAGTTCAATAAAGTGCATTCATTTCTGAAGTATTATTAATGAAAAAGGAAATAAAAAACCTGGGCAACACTATCAAGAATTTGTTGTGGGATGCATAATCTTTTACTTGGTCACTGCTGCCATTCTGCTGCAGACAAATACAGATTTAGCAAGCTAAGGCACAGCTACATTCGGCAGGATATTACACCAAGTTAGTTCAGAAATTGCTTGAGCACTGTCAGATGGAGAAAGAGGCTGTTGAATGGAGAAAAAAATTACAAGGAGAAAACAAGCACGTAGGAAGAACACACACATACAAATAAAGAACAAAGAGATTCACAAAGATTAAGGATAGATAGTGCACAAACAGAACTCAGACAAAAATAATAATAGAAAAGCCTAATATAATCTGCATGGCTTGAGAAAGAGACCTCCTTGTACAACAGTGTATTAACAATAAAGCAAACCTTAAAAGGGGCTTAAAACTATTTGAACCTGCATGACTTAATGAACTCAAACATTTTGTGGTTCTCCCACCTCTACATAATTCCCTAAACCACAAGATGATAGCCACTATGTGTTATGAAAAAATGAAATGTACCAAAAAGAGTCTTACACAAGTACATCCTCCACTAGGGTATGAAGGGTGCTGGGGTTGCGGATCAGCTTGTCCAGGAAGTTGACAATGTCACTGAATTTGGGACGGTGGTTCCTCTCCTTCTGCCAGCAGTGAAGCATGAGCTGGTGAAGAGAAGCTGGGCAGCCCATGGGAGCTGGAAGCCTGTAGCCCTCTTCAATGGACAGTATAACCTACAGCAATACAATCGGTATGATTACCAGGCAGGAGTAACACTGACAATTAGAAACCATAAATTATCAATGGCACAGCCACCCTCACTTTATGCATTGCTGAGGCTTCACTCAGGGAATCAGGACTGGCAGGGGTGTGACCAGAGCAGACAGGAAATATTTTTTAGTCATATGAAACACAGTAGGAACTTTTTTAGGGTCACTGGTCATCCTCTGCAAACAGCTAAGCAAGCAGGAGGGGAATAAAGAACTCACCATCATTTTCATCCACTTCAGGGGGTCACAAACTCATCTGGTGTGGCCACTGCATCCCACCATGCTCTAATATTTCCATTCTGACAAAGTGTTTGTGTGTAGCAATACCCCATACAATCAAGGACCACAAATACACATTGTGGCACCTGACAAATTTACTTGTATTCACATGTTTCTGCTGATCCTTAGAGCATGATTAATTCTGGCAGTTCCCCACACTAAGTTACAGCAATGTTATTTTGCACAGTCTCCCTCAGAAACCTGGGTGCCTGACATGTTTATGACTAAATAAAAGTTAATAAAATTATGGTATTACCCTAAGGTGAGCAAGACCTTCAGATTCAGCAGATACAGAAAATGAGTTTGGTAAGAATTCAGAAAGAAACAGTGAAAAATTACAGTGGATCCGAGTTGAAGGAAAGCTTATTTTTAGTAGCAAAAAACATTGTTTGAAAAGAAGAGTAGCAGCCTGGCTTGATAGGAGTTAGCAAAAGTAGGTAAGGTCCATGGAAAGCTTCATGGATTCATAACAGCCTACATGGATTCATCCTATGTAAGATTTAAAAAACACATGGAAAGGTCAGGAGATTCTGCAATGAGTGGTGGTAGCAGTGAGGATGATGTTACAAATTACACAGTCAGGGTTTTTTTTCTGTGTAAAAAGGAATATAAAGCTAGTCAGTGGCTGATCAAAAACGAAGCTAGGAAAAAGACCAGCCTTACCACACATGCATAACCCTCCCACATAAAAATCCAGCCAATGCTAAATGTTTTCTAATGTACAAATGATTGCACACAATATTTATAACCCCACAGTGCACTTAGGAGGAACATACCTGCTGCATTGACACCCAGTGTGCTGCAAGGAGACATTCATCATTTGCACACAGATGTATGTACACGCTGCAGACATATTAATGCAGCTGGAAGGGGTTACATTAAACTGTTTACAACAAATCAATGTTTTACAGCACCAGCTCTGGCTTCAATATATTCAATCTTATTATCCTGGAATATATCCCTGTTCTCTATTTGAATTCTGAATTAATGCTGGCTCTGCTCAGCAATGCCTAATGCTTGTGCTGCAAGCATTATGTAAATAAAAGAAGAGTAAGGAAGCCACGTTAGGACCTGAGCTCCCCTTGATGGCATGGCAAGAATGGAACGAGGCTTCTGTAGCTGCACACAGCTGCTTGTCTGGTTTATAAAACACAGGTGACCTGGTCCTGTAATGTACATGCTGCTGTTACAGGAAAAATGAATGCCACCATCACATTTCCAGGGAAATATTCCCTTCAGAACCTTTCCTCCCAGAGATGAAAATGCCCCTGTGGGCTCAGGATGGACGAAACTCAGCCACGTGCATGGAATTTTATTCACACTTATTTTTACATTTATTATTAATGTATCTCAAGCAGTTTGTCTGAAATGGGTTCATAAAACAGCCCTGACAGAGAGGGGCAGATCTTAGCTGGTACTGGCCACTGCAGAGGCCATCCTTAGCAGCCCAGAAATGTAGATACCAAAATTTTTACATTTAACTGTGACTGTTGCAAGTGTGGAATTTATGAAATGTATTTTATTTTAAAGGCAACAGGAAAACTGCTCTACTCTTATGAGATAGATAGCATTTGCTCAACACAACAATAGAGGGCTGATGAGGTTTTGCTGAATTGATTTATTCAGGAAAAACCCAAAAGCAACCATAATTTTCCAGACATATTTGCTCTTCCACACTTTATTTTAACACATCTCTGAAAATGAAGTCACAGTGCATTTTTTTCCTCTCTTGTTCAAAAGGAATATTTCAGTATGAAGAGAAATGCCAGCTGGTACTAGGATAATTATAATTTCTCATTAATACCAGCACATTTTTAAAATAAACTGGAAATATTGCCTCATTAGTATCCCTTGTGAGGCAAGTATTATTTTTAGAGTCTAAGAAGTAAGAGTAAAGATGTGATAAGTGTCTCATACTGCAATGGGAATCAAGTCTCAAAGGAAGAATTAGAGCATTTGAGTTCCTTATTTATTTATATATTTATTTTAGCTCTTGCTCTGCCACGTGCATAGCACCCATCTCTCTCTGTTCAGAGAAATCAGACATCCATGCACCTAAAAGGGAAGTATTAAGTTTTCCTTAGTAATATAAAATTTTATATTATAAAATATTTCAAGAGTTTACTTGTTAACTCCTCTCAAATGCATTTTTCCCTTGTCAGTTTAAGGCTGATGAAGCACCACATCAATCAAGAAATCTGCATCTACAGGAAGGATACAGCTACAGCTTGTTTGATGTTAGACATAGCTGTGAAGTTTGAATATTAACAGAGTTAATATTAAATATTGGTTATGACTGTCTGAACAGTATTTTATGGACTTCTACACAAAATTTATACACATTCAATTTCAAAATAATTGGCATTTGGCAAAAATGCCATGTGAAAATGAAGCTGTAATCTTCCTGATAGTTTCATTATTAATAGTAACAGAGATTCTTGCTTTCAAAAGTTAACTGACAGCTTTTTTAATGAGACTGAGACAGAAGAGAGTCCAGAGGGACATTGTCCCTGTGTCCTCCTGACATCTGAAAAATCTACCAGGAGGGAGAGGCAGCTGCTCCTGCCTCATGGTACAGAGCCAATCCCAGGCGCCTGCCAAGTGTTTTGATATCTGAGTTGAAAGAACTATATTAGGATAAGGTTTTTTTTCAGTATTACAAGAAACTTTCAGGAGTGTAAGGAGTTTTATTCTGTTTGCTACAGTAGTTTCCTTGCATACCAATTACAACCCATTAAATATTCTTTTCATTTTTTTCCCCTTCTTTTTGAATACTGCAGCTCTGTAACATGCATTAATTTATATGGTGGCCTCTAACAGGTGTCCCAGTAGACTTCACTCACAGCTGGTCTACAAACCAAATTCATGGAATATAAATCTTCCTTCCCTCACATGAGCATTAGCAAGCCAGACTTTTAGCACAATCTGTTCATCAGTACACTAGTTTCCTTGGAAAGTTCAGTATCTTGGCTAATGTTTATTAATTAAGCAATAAGACACGACAGACTGTGCAGCAGCCCTAATTAATGGACACCTCTGGTGCCTGCCACACATCGAAGAAGTGCATTAATCAGCACCAACACAGTTTGGAAGTGACTTACCACAATAATAAAATGGTTACTTACTTAAACAAGAGCATTTCTCAAACTTAGCAACATTTTAAAGCCCCTGCACTATGCCATGTACAGTATTAATTTTATGACAAGCATTTTGCAACTCTGTTTTCTTAAGTTCAGCTTCCAAATCCTTGGTGGAGAATATAAACAGAGGGTGCTGATTTGCAGAGGTGTTGAGTCATTCTGGATACCTGTGAGCAGCCTTAGTCTCTGAACACCTTTATTTAGCTGGCAGGTACCAGTTTAAAATCCTCCTATCAGCTGCCTTCATCACTTACCTAGCCATGGTCTAAAAAGTGATTAATTTCCCAAAGTTGTATAATTAGAAAAGCAATTGGTAAGATGGAATGGGAAAAAAGCCTCAAGCCCACAAACCAGACCCGGCTCTGCAGAGTTTATACTTGGAAAACTTTTGGTGATCTACTAAAACCCACCCAATTCAAGAAATATGTTAATTGCTATCTAGAGAAGAGTTTTATGATGATCCAAACTCAGTAAGTGTTTTAATGGTAATGTTAGGAGACATTTTGATGTAGCAGAACCTCTGACTATACCCATGCAAGACCTCATTAACTGTTGTTTGCATCCTGTGTCTTTTATGAATCTGTTTAGTACACATCCCTCTCTGTTGTTTTCCCTGCCATCTGTACAGTACCACTGACCTTTAAAAGTCCTATTATTTCTGCAAAACAAGATCATGTGAATTCAGGGCAATTTATTGTACTGAAAGAACTGTCCCAATATCAAGTAAAAGAAGCTTTACATTATGTCTAATAACTTGAAATTTCCCAATGACACTTGAAGTCACTATAGTATATAAATATATATATATAGTATATAGAAGGTCACAGGTGCTCACTGCTCACATTCTGGCACTGAAAACCTGTGGGTGGGAGAAAAGGAGTCCTTTGTGCTGGCAACTGCTGAGCTGCAGGGAAAGCCCCCAGCAATTAGCATCATTAGGACCTGCAGCATCATTTTTTATTAACAGACATTTTTATTTTGGATGTAAGAGTAATTAAACATTGCTATCTTCATGCTGTAGCTGATTATTTAATATATTCTGAATGGAGAGGTTTATGAGTCTTTTTTTTTTGTTTCTAAAGGGTTTGGCTGTTTTTTTCCTTTTCTTCCTGAAACAGTTGAAATTGTATTTTAAAATGAAAATCTCTCTCTGATCCTTATCCCCAAATGACCCATCAGCCTTAACAAGCAACCAGATTTGAAGAGCTGAATAACTTAGCAACAATGTAAAAACAGCCATCTGGGAAAATCTTGTCAATTCTTCAGAACCAATGGAATATTCTAGGCACAGATATGAGAGAGGTTAAGGTGCCTTGGCTGATACTCCACATTTTGACATAGAGCTTGATGGCTGGTGTGAAGACTGAGTGTACCAGTTTGAGCTATCACAGGGATCCATCAAACAAGAGAATTTGTGAAAATTTAGATTGTGGTAGAGAAAAAAACCCCTACCATTTCCCCCTTCCCATATTTCTTTTTCTAGAAGAAACTTTCAACTATACTAAAAGAAAATTTGGATTTTTTTTTTTTTTTAAATTGAGATTCCCGCCCGGAAAGGGAATGAGACAGCAAAGCAGGGCAGGGAGTGACAATAACCTTTAAAACACATTTGAAAAAGTTGCAGATTAATGGTGGGCAGTACTCACATCCTGGTTGGACATCTCCCAGTAGGGCCTCTCTCCGTAGGACATCACCTCCCACATGACAATTCCGTAGCTCCAGGCGTCGCTGGCGGAGGAGAACTTCCTGTAGGCGATGGCTTCGGGAGCCGTCCACCTGATGGGGATCTTCCCACCCTGCACACAGGGTGGAAACTCGTCAACATGATGAGGATACAGAACAACACGTGTTTTAGAAGAAAAGGGGGGAAAAAAAACAAACCACCTGGATTCTGAAATTTTACGTTCTGACTTCCATCAATTTGCCTTGTCAGCTTGGAAAGGAAGAAATACACCGTTTTTAAGGAATTAAAAAAAAAAATTGATTTCATATGTAATCTAATTCACCAATACCTGCACTCTGTGAAGACAACCCAGTTCAAAGAACAGAAAGCATTTGAGATGATTAATGTTTGTTCAGTCATATAAATAATCAGAACATGCATTTTGATTGAAAACATCCCAAGCCTTAAATTCCTAGTTCATTGACATTTAAGCTTTTTCCCTGAATGAAACGGAAACATCTATTTCAAAATGGAACACTGAAAGCTCTTAATAAAATTGCATAATCAGGAAAGAAACGATAGGTGTTCTATACACTTCCTTTGCATTTGATATATTTTAATTTTTGTTGTGCTCTTTAAATATCCAGGTAGAAAACAAACCAAGTGTGCTCCTAAATAGGCATTTCCTTGGGATATTCAACAGTGTCATTCTGCAGCCTACAACTTAAAATCCAAGCTCTCCAACAAAAAAAAAAAAGAATTAAGAAATCAACCAACAAATCTGACTTACTGTTTACAAGACCACAGCGTGCAGAATTTTTCTCTGACATTAGTATTTTATACCACCGAATCCCTTCTATTCTTTTATAAATAGTTTCTGTGTGAAAACTACTTTTCCATCTCAGAAAAAAAAAATAAAATGTATTTCCTCTCCAGGTACATTGATCGTTTCAAAAGTATATTTTTTTCTTTTCAAGAGTGTACATTTATTATCATTCCCACTGAACTCTTTGGAGAGAGAAAAGCAGTATAGTGAAGGTGCCACTAGATGGTAGGAGGAGGCAGTCAGTAGAGCTGAGCTCACTCAGCAGTAGTTGCTTTCAACAAGCAGTAATAGATTCTGCTCAGTGTAATAATTGTATTTCTGACTGAAACAAAAGAGGAAATGAACTAGAACATCCATTTGGCAATGAAGAGAGGCCACAGTTAAAAACAAGCATGTAAATCTCTGCTAATTTGCTTTGAATGTATAAAAAAATTGTCTGAGAGTTGTGTTGGGCTGGTTGAAAAGCTGTTTGTTCTATCAGTAAATTGCTCAAAATCCAGCTCTGTGTCTGTGGGCATGTGCCACTCAGCCAAGCTCTCCTTGCTGATGGAAAATGCATGGTTAACATTTATGTTGTATGACAGTGGCCAAGATGTCCTTTGGATATTTTTACATTTTTTGCACCTGCTTTTTCAAAGCCTTTGCTTCCTCACATGTGGTAAATCACTTATTATTTTAAGCACTAATAAGGTATTTTTTGTAATTTTGCCCAAGTACCTCCACTATCTGCCTTTTATTTATCCATTTTCCTGGTAGTCAGATCACCCATCTGGCACATCAGAGATGCAAAAGAGTTTGTGCCTCACCTGCTGCCACCTGCCCTCACCAGCACTGCAGTGTGTGATGCTCTTGGTCCCCTCCTGGTACAGCTGGTACCTGGTTCCACTTTAGAAGTAATTAAAAATGCTTTTTGGGTATGTGAATGAAGAAACAGGGGGACAAAAGAGAGTTCTAACAGGATATTCTCTGAGGAAAGGCCAGACTGATTTCTTGTCTCTTCTCCAGGAAATATTTATTTATACCTCCTAAAGAAATTGGGTAAGAGCACTTGGTGCTTGATATCAGTCTGGTTTCAGTGGTCTTTTCACAGGATGTGCAAGGCCAGGCTCCCTGAAGTAGTGGAAAAATCAGCTATTCAATGCCATAAATGTGCATCTTACACTGGGCTGTTCAACCAAAAGGATGCATGTAAGCAAAGAGAGTCCTAGGGTCTAACTGTAAAAGATACTTCAAAAATATCTCTTCACACCACAGAGTAATGGGCCTTGTCCCTTCTACTGGATCAGGTTTAGTTCTTTATTTCTAAATATTTTATCACCAAGCTTATGCAATTCCATCCTTAGAGAGATTCCTGCTTTGGAGAGTTTTACTAATAGTTTATTATTATTTGAATTTTAATGGAATTCTTATGTTAATAATTAAATATCTAGTTGTAGGTAAAACACACAATTATACACGTGAATCAAATGCATTTGGATATTTGCAGATTTTACTTTTAATGTGTGTATTAACATAGCATGGATAATATAACAGGAAAACTATCTTTGCACCGTATCATTTTCATAAATCTGACTTTGTATTCCCAAATTATACTCAAAAGAGAGGGCACATCTTGAGCAGCGTTTGCAGATAGATTTGAAACTCCTGGCTAAATAAAAAAGAGTTTTAAAGAATCTGATCAGACTCTATAACTACTTTCATGACACAGCTTCACTGACTGATCCCTTTTGGACTGAAACAGTAGCGGCTCATTGAGTGTGAAAATGAGAATGAAGAACAGAGTCTTAACAAAATTCAAGGCAGTTCATGTTCAAGGGCATAAGATGTGTTCAGAGTTGTAATGTAAAATAAAACACTTTTGTGCTGGCTCTAAAAACCTCTATAATTTTTACAGTGGCTTCATCTCATGTATGAAGTTGCTATATTCATGAAAATGTGAATTTCAGTACTTAATTATGGTTGCAGAATATATTTTTATGCAAAAAATCTGTTTTATTTATTTGAAAGCCATCCAAAAGGTGGAGATTGCAATATGAGTACCTTAAGGAACATGTATGACTGAACAGTAGTAATAGCTGCTCATGCATAATAAAAGAACACATAAAGTTTAGAGTGGCTGAAAATATATTTCCCATTTCTGATTAGAGTAATAAACAGTGTTACTGATATTGGATATGCCTTTTTATATTTTAATCTAACTGGGGAAATAATAAATGTAATACTTACTGTTTACACAACGCCTCACCTTCAAATTAAGATAATTTATAAATCATCTACATTTTGCTGCCATAGCAATGAGATCTCTCAGAGCTGCCTGCATTAGAAAGCCCTTTTTGCTTTTAGATTATTCTCTTTTTTTGGGGGGGGGAGGCGGTTGGGGAGGAGGGGCAGAATGGGTGTTAGGAAACAAATTGTTTTTCTGCTTCATCTCATACATTAATAATGATATCAGAGATAACCTAATTTTATTTTCTCACAGTGAAATAACACTAACTCCACTGTTCAAATAATTAGAATTCAGCCTTTTTTCCCTGTATGCTGCCAGCTGAACAGAGCCTATCTCCTGATTTTTTTTCGTGATTGTAATTTAATAAGCAATTTTACCACGCAGCATAAGAATCCCCTTGGAATTATAATATTAGATTCACATTGCTTAGCTTGTAGAACTGTTCAGAGATGAACCTTTGAAATGAAATTTACCCCCTCAGCCACACCTACACACATGCTGGCTTTCCCTGCAGAACTGGCAACAGCACAGTTTGCCACACGTTTAAAGGCAGGACTGGAGCTCCGTGGTGCAGAACTCCTCATTCTTCACCTCAGGCCATGCATGAAAGAGAGACAGCCTTCACAAAAAGCCATCTCTGAGCTCAGACCACAAAAAGTGCTTGTGTGGCCTCAGCTGCGTTTTTGCTTTCTCCAGTTTGATTTGTTTTTTTCTATTCTACATGTTAGACATATCTTTAAAACCAGGCGGCATTAACAGTCCCTTTAATTAAAAATCTAACCATATTTCCAAGCTCCAGCAGAACAATGTAGCTGGCAGCTACAGCCCATTATTCTACCAAAAAAAAAAAAAAAAAAAAAAAATAAAAAAAAAAAAAAAAAGATCGGGATGCATCGGCAAGCTCAAAATGTGAAGAAACAAAGGAGGAAACCTTTTAGATGGCCAGAACTTCTGGCATGTCCTGGTAGGTGATTAAAGTGAGGAGTGGTAGCACTGAGAGCCTGAGGTACAAAATTGAAGGCAAGATGTGTGTGAGCTCCTACTGCCCGTGCACAGACAGCAGCAAACCCAGTGAGGGCATCATGCTCAGCGTGCCCCAGAGTGTGAGCAATGCCTGTTTCTGTGGAAAAGCCCCCTCTGGAATGACAGACACTTCATTTTCCTGGAACGACAGACACTTCAGAGGGACTGTCACAGCACTGGCTGCAGTTCTCCTAAATGCTGAGGTGCAAACCCATCAGAGATTCAGATGCACGGGTATCTAGAAGTGTCTAATTCTGGGAGAAAAGGAGCTGAACTGTGTGCACCGTTAGTGTGATCTGGCACAGGAATTCCTGTGCATCTGTCAGCTACTGCTCCTTCATGTGCCATGTCACTGATTTGTGCAATCACTTTCCAAGACAAAAGTAGAGTACCTGTCTTTTCCTTTACCCAATGACAGAAACAGGGGGGAAAAAAGGAACTTCAGAGTGAAGAGGCACACACACAAATAATGAAAGAGATTAAATATTGGACATAATTCATCATTCTATACAAAAACCTTCTGCCACTTTACTAGAGTGATGCTTTTATTTGATGCTCAAATTTTTCATGTGCAATGCTACAAGTAGTCAGAATTTAACATCCTCAAATCATAATTTAGAACTATTCAGTACTATCAACAGTCTTCTGTTGTGCCTATTGAAAAGTGTCTATTGAAATATCAGAGAAACTACATGGCAAGATAACAAAACTGCTCTGCAAAAGCATTTCAGAATTTGTGCTCATTATGCCCAATTCCAGTTAGTTCTACCAGTCTCATTTCCCTCAGAATTGAAATTAATAAACCCCTCGATTTTCAAAAAGACTGAATTTGCTTTTAATCTCTGGGAAAATATTAATTTTCTTTTAAATGTCCTGATTAACAATGCAGAAGTTAAATATATGGAACTTGATTTTTCCCCCTAAGTTAGCGATTCAAATTTTCAAGAACAAGTTATTTATGGCATTGAGAATATGTTAATTTTAGTGGTTGTTAACCCCTACACTGCACATCTATTTGTGTCTTCCAAAAGAGGGAAAGCTCTTGATGGGTGGAAGG